AAGATAGCCTTTTTAAAACCTCTATTTGAGCTTGATATTGACTGTCCTTTGATAAATATAGAGTTAAATAATACTAGAAGAGAATCCGAGAAATATTAGCCCACAGAAATGGCCTTGGAACAGAAAAAAAGCGAATTATCTATTACGAAGCCTGACTCGACATTCGCACGCTACAGCTACGATCAATTTAAAAAATCAAGGTCAGCTGTATACAAAAAATGGATAGTGAAAATAAGGAAATTATATGCATCGGCGATTTCAATTGTGATTGGCTCCAACGGACAAGTGATAATTATACATCTCAGAGAAGTGTAAATTTTAATAATTTAATTAACATTAAGACTAATACAAACCCCACCATTGGAAAGTCCTCAGTCCCGTCCTTCCTCTTGTCAAATGTATGCCATATAACAAATAAGGTAGACGAATTAGCTGCTGTTGTATCGATCTATGACCCATCCGTGGTAATGATAACTGAATCCTGGCTAAGTGATGATATCGGTGATTCCTCGGTTAAGATCGGTAATAAATACAACATATTTCGTCGCGATAGAAAGTCTCCTGGCGGTGGAGTGATCGCCTACGTGAATAATTGTTTACCAGCAGAGCGTATGACTCCCCTCGAAGAAGAAAACAAAGAAGTGATATGGTTGTTGTTAAAACCCCCCAGAACCCCTAGACCTTACAGTACAATCGTTGCTGCTGTTGTGTACTACCCTCCTGGTCAATCCGCCGAACAAGCAATCGATATGAATGAATACTTAACTACTTGTATAGATAGTCTCTTGCGCGAACGTCCTTCATCTGGAATTGTTATAGCTGGGGACTTCAATCAACTAAAATTAAGAAAACTATGTAACAGATTTAATTTAAAAAGATCTGTAACTAAACCGACTAGAGGACACAACATTCTTGATCAAATCCTTACAAATATGCTCCCTCTCTTTGACACTGTTAGCCATCTCCCCCCAATCGGACGCTCCGACCACCAATGTCTTCTAATCAAGTCCATTAAAAGACAGAAAACTCCGGTTACGTCAAAAAAAATTAGATTGATGAAACGAGCAAATTTAAATGACCTCTCCCTGAATATAGCTTCTGAAGATTGGACTACTGTATATTCAGCACTGGATGTGGATGAGAAAGTATCAGCTTATAACTCCATTATAATCAAGATGCTTGACGAGTTCTTACCTGAAAAAACCATCAGAGTACATCACTCTGATAAACCGTGGATCACCGGTAATATTAAAATGCAAATCAAAGCTCGTCAGAAGGCCTTTTCTCGTGGTGATCAGCCAAGATACAAACAACTATGCGAGAAAGTGGCAAATCTTATAGCTAAAGCTAAAGCCACCTACTATCGGTCCAAGGCCTCAGAATTTCGTACCTCGAATCAATCGAAGTGGTATAACTGTATCTACTCTTTAGTAAATGCCGAAAACACAACCCACACCCAATTTCCACACGGGCCCGAAAACCTAGACTTATCCGACTTAGCTGAAAAACTTCAGAAAGCCTTCACTAAACCATGGTCGGACCGTTACACGAATGTCGCCTTTGAAATACCTGAAGTGAACCACCCACATAAGAATAACAAACCAACCCCTTCCTTCTATTGGCCAAGTTAAAGCGGTCTTAAAACATCTTAATCCAAGAAAAGCAACTGGCATCGATAAGGTTCCTGCATGGATGCTCAAACAATACCACGAAGACCTAGCTCCTGTGGTTTATGACATTGTGTGCTGTAGTATAAGTCAATGTTGTTATCCATCACTCTACAAACATGCCCTAATTTTTCCTGTTCCTAAAGTGCAACCGCCGAGAGACATTAACAATGATTTCCGCCAGATATCAGTCTTACCCCATCTTGCCAAGATCCTGGAAAAGATCCAGCTCCAGTTAAATATTGAAGACCTGAAAATTAAGAATAACCAGCACGCGTTTACTCAACATCGAAGCACAGTCTCTGCGTTAATATCAACTACCCAAACCTGGTTTAATGCCACTGATTGTTCAAAAACAGGCAAAATGGGGGTTCATGCGGCCTTCATTGACTTTCGTAAGGCCTTCGACCTTGTGGATCACAATATTCTTTTGAACAAATTAGCAGCTATGAACATAAATAAACCCTTCTGGTTATGGATTAAAAGTTTCCTTTCCGGAAGAGTTCAACAAGTAAATCTCAATGGTACCTTATCATCCATTGCAACATGCCCGGCCGGAGTCCCGCAAGGCTCTGTAATATCTCCCATTCTTTTTAATACCTACATTGATGATTTGGAGGACGCCTTACCAGAACAACTAAAAGTCAGTACGAATAAGTATGCAGATGACTGCACACAACACCAAATAGTGAGCGTAGATTCTAATAGTAATTTACAACAATCTATCAATGAAGTAAATAACTGGGCGGTGTTAAATAAAATGGCAATTAATGCTAAAAAAACTAAGGACATGTGGATCTCGTTCACGGACGCTATACCTGAACCACCACGTCTTCGTATTGGAAATGAGTTAATAGAAAGGGTCAACGCTTTTAAATTACTTGGCGTGTCGTTCCAAAATAATCTAAAATGGAACGCACATGTTGAAGAGATTACACGTAAAGCAAATAAACGCCTTTACCATCTTAGAGAATGCAGGAAATCGCAGTTACCAGCTGAAGTCGGTATTATTACCTATCAATCCAAAATAAGACCAATTCTCGAGTATGCATCACCTGTCTGGGCGGGACTCCCTAATTACCTGCGAGATGAAATAGAGCGGGTCCAATCCAGGAGCTTAAGAATCCTTGGCCTGGAAAAAGATTACCTACCACCGTTGAACGAAAGAAGGGAAGAGGCAACTAGTCGAGAAGTTGATAGGTTTATGAACGATCCACACCATCCCTGTCGCAGTGTTTTGCCAAAATTAATTAACAATCAGTACAATTTAAGGAACATTGACCGGAATCGCAATATATCATTCTTCTCAGGAACTGAAAGGCATAAACATTCATTTTCAGGTAGAGCTTGTAAATATGTATAAATAGTTTTAACTTATTAGAAGAACTTATTAGATTAAAGAATTTATTAGTTTTAACTTCTTAGTTAGTTTTCTAAATTATCTTACAACAATTTGTAATATAAAGACATATCCGCAGCATATATACTTTCTTAAACAAGTAATTGTAAGTCCATTGTACTTTTTTATCTTAAGATGGATGAATAAAGCTATTATTATTATTAACCTGATAAAATCGAAACCCAAAGGTTATCACATGTATTTGGCTAGAATGTATCAACTTGACCAAATGATTGATGAACCGATTCGAGTCACCGAAAGATCTCGAACACAAATCGATTTGGTTTTTAGTAATCGTCCAGAGATAATAATTAAGTCCGGTGTACATTATATCGGTATCAGCGATCATAGCTTAATCTATATGGACAGGAAAATATCTATACCACGTAGGCAACCAAAGATTATCAATGCGCGACAGCTGTTTAATTAAGCGTTATAATATAGAAGCTTTTAGTCTAGATTTGTATAATATCCTTCATTCACAGCCGCATGAATCCGATCCGAATATCCTTTGGGATGACTGGAAGGAAACATTTTTGTTAGTAGCGCGGATATGCATGCACCACAGGTCATCAGGAGAGTTCGAAGCGAACATGTGCCATGGATAACTTCGGAAATCAAAACAAAAATGTATCATAGGGATTTTCTTAAGAAAAAAGCAATCAAAACAGGTTCAACCCACTTTCATAATGCATATAAAAAGGCTAGAAATAATTTGAGCAAGTCAGTAAAAGATACAAAAGCGAATTATTACAATAATGCGATAAATCAATGCAATAAGGATTCAAAATCTATGTGGAAAACTATAAATCAATTAACAAACAAGAAATCGAAAACAGCTAAAATTAATGAACTGATAATTGATCAGAAAGTTACAACAAATCCAGATGAAATTGCAGAAGGTATGAATAAATATTTCAATGATATTGGAACCGCGTTTTGGCTGATAATCTCTCAAATGGGCATAATAGTTTTGAGGCATATGTCAACCCTACTGAAACTACATTTGAAATTCAAAACATTTCTGTAGTGGAGGTAAAAAGTGAAATTTCAAGAATCAAAACTTCCAAAGCTACTGGACATGATCGTATATCACCAAAACTTTTGAAAGATAGTGTGGAAATAATTGCCGAATCCCTCACAAATATTTTCAATAAATCCATTGAAAAAGGCGTATTTCCTGATGACCTTAAAATTGCATGCATATCTCCTATACATAAAGGGGGATAGCAAACTAGATTGTTGTAACTACAGACCAATATCTATTATATCTGTAGTAGTTAAAGTGTTTGAAAAGCTTATCTCCAGGCAACTCAATATGGGTATTTGGAGTCTAACCACTTGCTGTCGGACAGTCAAACTGGCTTTAGGAAAAAGAGTTCGACTACAACTTCCCTTTTGAATAATACGAACAAATGGTACATCAATAAGGATAATGGTCTTTTAAACGGAATTATTTTTCTCGATCTCAAAAAAGCTTTCGACTGTGTCGACCATGATATTTTGATAAAAAAAATTGTCTTACTTTGGCTGTAATGGCTTTAAGTTTGGCTTTAAATTGGTTTAAATCATATTTAACGAATAGAAAACAAATGTGTAAAGTAAATCAAGTGACATCCCAACCTCGAATAATTTGTTGTGTTGTACCACAAGGTTCAAATTTAGGCCCAATATTGTTTCTTATTTATATAAACGACTTGCCTAATTGACCATTTGCGTAATAGACTAAATTTTGATCTCAACAAAAATTTCATTACAGCTTGAAAGAGCATCACAAAATTAGTAATATTCCAAAGTTTCGTTGCAAAATGTTGTAAAATGCGGAAAATATAGCCGTGCGAAATTTGCAATTTTCAGTCATTTTAGATTACAAACCGGAAATTGACAGCGAAGGGTTTGGGGCTGTCAATTTCCCGTTTGTAATCTAAAATGACTGAAAATTGCAAATTTCGCAAGGCTATATTTTCTGCATTTTACAACATTTCGCAACGAAACTTTGGAATATTACTAATTTTGTGATGCTCTTTCAAGCTGTGATGAAATTTTTGTCTAGACTTGTTTAGTTCAAAATTTAGTCTATTATGCAAATGGTCAATTGTTTAAGAACGACTACAGCCAGTTTGTTGGCAAACGATACTAATCTGACAGCAAGCGGGTGCTCGATTATAGACATCCAAACAAAAGTAAACAATGATTTGGAAAATATACATTGGACAATAAATTAACTCTCAATAAGGACCGAAAACTGAATATATGATAGCCGGGTCTAAGCAACGGATTAGCAAAATTGAAGATGATCCAGACGTTAAATTAGGAATTTGTAATATAAAAAGAGTGAAAGAAACAAAAACTTTAGGTGTTATTATTGATGATCAGCTAAAATGGAATGCACATATAGATAATGTCGTTACCAAGGTATCAAAGGCCATGATTCGACGAATGAAAAAATGTTGTACCCCAGTCAACGTTAATTTCAGTTTATAATGCAATAGTACAACCTCACTTTGAATACTGTAGCCTTGTTTGGGACATTGGTAATGTTTACTCGCTTGAAAAGCTGCAGAAAATGCAAAACAGGGCTGCAAGAGTCATTACTGGGAGGTCTTACGAAGTTCGGTCCGAGACTATTTTACAGGACTTAGGCTGGCAGCCACTGATAGAAAATTGGAGAGAGAATAAGGCAGTTTTTATGTACAAAGCCAAAAATGGCAACAATTACTGATATCTTTAATGTGAAAAATAATGAAAATTATAATTTACGCAATAACGATTGTGACTTTTCGATAAAAAACCCTAAAACTCATTTTCTTAAAAAAAGTATCGGCTACTCAGGAGTAAATATTTGGAATGAACTGCCAACAGAACTTAAAGATAATGGTATAACATTAACAAGATTTAAAGCGCTGCTCCGAGACAGACAAACGTAGATTGTTAAAGTTTTTATTGTTTTATTATAAGGGTGGGCGGGAGGACAGAGTGAAGGAAGGGGGGGGGGAGGAATTATTCGTGTGTTATATATATATATATATATATATATATATTTATATATATATATATATATATATATATATATATATATATATATTCGTATATTTTCATTATTTTCTTCCCTTATTATTAATCAACGGCCCCTTGAAAATCAGCTACAAGGAACTGTAGATAAACTTGCTGAAGGGCTACCGTTGTATATGGGTGTAAATAAGATTAGATAATAATAATAATAACAATAATAATATCAAACTTTCCCCCTATATGAATGAACATTTGCTCAAACTAGTGTCCTGTGAAATTACAGACGGCCCAGTGTTGAAGCCCATTATATTAAAGATTAGATGTGCCAAACTGGTTTTGTAATGCCTTCATTAAATTAAATAAAGTTCATTATTGTTACTATTATTAGTATTATATGACGGAGAGAGTGAGACCTAAGCGCGCACGCTTCGAGCACTGAACCGTTTGACTTATAAATCGAACACGATGTATCGAGTAAACCTGCTGAAAAACCTAGAAACGACAACGTATTTTATGAATACGATTGACAACAATAATGGCCAAGCACGAATCATAACTTTGATCCTCTTGTCGTTTGTATTCTGATCATGCCATAGTGTAGATCAAGAAACTATACGGTATTAATCAGATAATGTATATTACTAAGCAGCATTTCCCAAGCGTAAACTTCAGTTATAATGAGGCAGTATAACTAATTTTATTAAAAGTAAAATCATTACAATTGTTCAACACTTATCTGGTGTACAATATAAGACATATAAGGTATATAAGGTAGAGTCGAGATTGAGTCTGAGACGTCCCTTCGCCATCTCTTGCAGCCGAGCGAGTGAATTACTAATGAGCTTGTGAACACAAGCAAAACCCACATCTTTGCGCTCATTTTGACATTCCCAAATCGCCATCAATAAGCATGAATTTGCTATCAAAATGCGCCAAATTTCACGAAGACTTCAAATCAGGCAGTAACTGGAGTCAAAGACCTGCGCAGAAGGTCCTAGTGCCAGTTTTCTTCAACAGACACCACGCGCGAGGCGAATTTCCTATACAAATTCTAACAAACAGCCCACAATCAAACGAAAAGTGACATTCGAATTAAGGATTATTTCCCCATAAAATTACATTCAAAAGGCGTCTAAAGACTTATTCTTTCCTATACCGAGGGTAACTGAACACCAATATAATCGTAGAGCAAGCGTAAGCGAAAAAAACATCAAATTTTGGGGTGATTTGTATAGGGAAAAGTTGGAAATATGATACGCGCAATACGATATGACTTTTTGTTAACGCAAAGTTTGATATGAGTAGTGATAATAATAATGAAACATAACGGCTACCAGCCGGGGTTATTTAACGGTAATAATAATATATTAATAATATATTATATTATACTGTAATAATATATTATATTTTATTTATTTGCCATCACCCGCGTGCCTGCATGTCTGTAGTATACTATAGTATACTACAGACAGGCCCGGCTGTTAGCCGTGATGTATTGTAGTATACTATAGTATACTACCGACGGGCTCGGCTGACACACGTATTGCATTGTAGTATTGTATTACAGTTAAATAACCCCGGCTGGTAGCCGTGATCTATGCCGTGATGTATTGTAAATATTGTTTTAAAGAGTAGATACGGCTCCGCTGGTACTGTACCCTTGGCCGTGTACAATGGTGTACGTATTTACGCAATCATAAATTGCGCTGGCTAAGAATAACCTCTATATATACAATAAATTAACATATTTTCCGTGTAAGACGTGGTGGCGCAGGGGAACAGCACTTAGCGTGTATGCCGATGGTCGTAAGTTCGAATCCCAGAGTGAGCGCTAATAATTCTCAATGTTTCTCTTTGCCGTAATTTTTTTTCTCGTTTATTTACCTGTCGCATAGCTAGCTGTATGCATTGGGAAGTTGAATTTTGATGCATTTCGATGATTTTCGGAAAATTTAATGTAATTTTGGTGGTTTTCTGCTTATGAAACATTCTAGAACCAGTCTCCGAAATGCGCGCATTTTTTGAACGAATAGTATACTATAGTACAGCCCGGCTGGCAGCCGAGCAATCGAAGACAAAATTTCCGTGCTAATCGGGTACAACGACACGGATCGATGACGACAAACGATTATGTCACTCAAAATACCAATTTCTATTAACCAGTTTTCCTTTTGACAGAAGACCGGTTTTGCTCGAATAATTTTGAGTTATGTTATATTATGCGTGTTGGACGTACACGACATATCTTGTCTACAACTTTGGGAAGGTACAGATAAAGCTTTCGGAAATCCTCAGTTTTGGCTCTGTCTCAGTAAAATGACAAGGACGTTAATTAATGCTAGGTCTTTTGGCTATGTCTCTCGGCTGAGAACTCTTTTAACGCGATCAAGGTATTTAAAACAAAAGTAGCACGAAGCCAACGGATTCGCAAAGACAACACTAAAACAGTGCCGTAGCCAGAACGATAATTGGGGGAGGGGGAAATATTCATATATTCGTGTTCTACTTTACTAATTTCTTTTGAAATAAATTGTTTTTATGCGGGTAGGTGAAAACGAATATATGAATACCCCCCCAATTATCGTTGTGGTTACGGCACTGCACTAAAATGAAATATTGTCCGTAGAAATCTTACGACAGGATCACTCTTAAATAATCTTAAACTAGAAGAAAAAATGTTCATATCAAAGACAAATATCAGTGCCAAAGTATAAAATCTGCTTTGTAAACTTACGACGAAATGGAGAAATGTTTGTGCATGAGCTATTTATTTGGTGATCACAACGTATATGAAAGTCATCTTTCCAATAATACTTGCTAATCGCACTGAATAACACCAACTGATATAATAGTTCAAATGCAATGATACCATCAACCGCGCAAGCCAGGGTCTTTTACCTGCGCTCGGGCTCCGGCGAAGACCCTGGTTCCCTCTGGTCATGTAGCTGAACTTGACCAAAACACAAAACTAATTCTACATGTTATTTTTCAATCATCCATTATATTGTTATCTCAATTTTGTTCACTTTATGCCAAACGTAGTATATTGTGTGTTGTATTTTATAACGTACCAGTCGTTATTGCATGACTGCTAGTACAGCATATAAACTTGACCGAAGACACATAAAAGCGGAATCACTTGGCTTGCATAATTGTTTTGAGTAATTGAGTTGGTTGCAAATTCTGACCGAAAGATATGATGAGATCTTTTACGAAAAGGCATTCAGATACAGGTACTGATATTGACGCCTTGGAGGACATTTGCAACCCAATTTATGCTGTAGTGTATGCAAAACACAATGTTTAAGTGTTCAGTGTAGTTTAGATATGGAAAGGGAATGATTTTACCTTATTAGACAAATTTTTTGGGCCTGAGAAATATTCTTGACTTTGTACCAAGTAAATAAACAATTAATCACAAATTGAAATCATATACACTCAATTTACTTCATGGACAGTACAAAAACCCATACAGCAGTGCCAGAACAAAATTCTAAATTGATTATATGTTTATATTATAGTTCTACAGTATATTGTAACCATACACTGTAAATTAAAAAGGGCTGAAACGACCCCAAAAATGGGGCCAAAACGATGACAGCAAAATAGATCTTTTTTGGGGGTCAAAATGGCACCTATAACAATGCGGCCCCTAGGGGTGATTTGGCCCTTCCAGTGTAAGGGCTGTTTCAGCTTTTAGTAGGAGCTGTTTTGGCAAAAGCAGGGGCTATTTCAACTTTCAATACGGGCCAATTCAGAAAATTAGGGGGCTATTTTGGCATTTCGAGGAGATAATTTGGCTCCCATTTGTGGTCATAATGAACCCCAAAAAGCGTTGATTTGGCTCGCTAACCGGAGCTGTTTTGGCTACTGAGTTACAGAGTAGTTTCAGCCCCAATGAAGAGCTGCTTTAGACCGACGGAGCCGATATAGCTTTTCTAATGGTGTAGTTTTTTAGCACCCAAAGGGCCAATATGCAGGGCTCCAAATGGCATTTCTCTCGTGCCTGGGGTTAGCCTAATATTTGTTTTGTTGCCTAGTTTTTCAATTTTTTTATTGCGCAATAAAGCAATTTTGCATCAATTGCATGTACCGGCCCTTTTAAATTTCCTGGTTAGTGGTAAATAGTTGCTGCCAATATATGTCAAAAAGATTGATTCATCAGTTTTTAACTTCTTTTCACATTATATTAAGTCTTCCTAAAATAACATCTTATGTTATATACGTATATTAACATTTAGCTGTTTAGATATTTTTCATTTTCTGATGATATTAAGTTCATCACTGTCTGCATGCATATTAAGAATAAGATAAAGGATTCCAGTGATAGCAATTTATTATGTTTTGACTGATAAGTCCCTGAGAGTGAAACCGATAAGTCATAACCAAAGTCCAATATCCATGCTCAAAGCAAATTATACACTATTGTCAATACAGTGCTTCATTTATTAGTGCTAAATAGTTACTAAGTGTACTTCGTTGTTTAATTATGTTTATTGTTTTTGAAACCAAAATTTTACTTTTTGCTCTTTATTTCGGAGAGTCTTCAGGGTCGAACTTTCCTTGTCTGGATTGGTCCTTAAAATGGCTGGTAAATGCGTTTTACTCCATTCTTTCCTCAGATCTTCGAGCGGAAGGGAATGGAGTGGAACTGAATTACCATAAATAAACGTTTCCTGATTAACTCTGTCCCTTTTATTTTGGTCTTGATGCGTTTCGTTAAATTTTTCACCAAATCTTTTTTCGGACACATCTTTAGCAAGTTTCCCAAATCGTTCTGTATCTGATTGAGATCTGGACATAACGAGGCAAATTTCGATGATTTCAACTAAATCCGGTATACCTTCATGTAAGCCATGTTCCGTTTTTTGAAAGCAGCATAAAACATTAGAGGTATTCCATGTAATCTGATGTGCTTCGTTTTCAACAAACCAAAAATTATTGAATCTCTCCTTGTTATCCCGGACTCTTTCTTTAAAAGCTATGTACTGGTCAAGAAAGCATGAGCAATCTATCCCAGAACATACTTCACAGCAGCGGTGTCGTGGAAATGAAAGGTTACCTCTGTTTAGATGTTTAGCAAATGAAATAAATTCATTGTTATTTTGTTCACGCAGACTTTCAGAGCTGTGGTAATCAAACGACTTGACATCAAACATCTTTATTACATTTTCTTCCTGTTCGCCCATCGCCAAAAATATTGGAGCTTCTCGTAATATTGCTGACGTTAATTGCTTCAATCTATCTTCAGTTGTTCTGATGATGTCATCTGGTGTCAACGGTTGTGGACGATGTCGTACCCGAGGTTGGAATTGAACATCATGTTGTAAAATGTTGACTTGCTGATGGGTTTACTAAAATTTGGAGTAAAATTCCCTTTTTGGATACTTGGGTATTGTAAATGCAGCCGTCTGTTCAAGGGATTTTCCAGAACGGGCATTTCATTCATTTTTGTTATGTTTCCAATAAATTTATCTACATTGGCTTTGTCATCCCATAATGGATACAGATCAGACTGTGCAGCTTCACTTGTGAATGCAGACTGACTAAATACGTCGGTGAGTATAAGTAAGGTTGATAGAAAAAGCGGACTCACTAAATTCTTCAAGTGACCACGAATTTCGTTATCTCCCTCAGCAGCTTGTTCTTGCCAGAGTAATTCCAGTACATAAGCATTAGTTAAAACAGCATCAACTGAGCCAACCAAGTAACGTATAAATCTTGTCTCCACCAGCCTCTTCATACTCTTTACCAGTGAATCAGCGAGGGTTGCAGCATGTCTGCGATTTCTATGTTGCTTTGGTGATTGGCAAATTTTTGAGATCATACTATCCAGTTGAGATAAGATTTCATCGAGCCATCTCATTTCAGCTTCTTTGCGAATCTTCCCGATCATGGATTCGATCTTGTGCGCCCTGTCAGCAAAATGAAGATGAGCACGATTGAATTTCTCTTTCCAAAGACGCTGAAGACCCTGAATTCTACCTGTATACACGGCTTCACAGTCTGAAGATGACAAAGATACAATATGACTGATGGTTTCATTCGACATTTCTAATTGCTTGTGGAGAAAGTCGTAAACATGACAGAATACACCTCTTGCATCACTGGTATGATCGGCCGAGGGAATATTTCCAAGACTGATTGTGTAATCTGGTACATGATCTTCATGTCGAGAAATGACACTTTGATTTCCATTGACACAGACCAGTTCGCCATTAAGATCCAAGATTCTGAGATTAACTACTTGACGTGTAATATGTTCAACTGTTACTTTGTCGAATGATAGATGGCAGTGCCGAAGACGGCCAGTTGAAGGGTTGGGTGAATGAATGAATTGCACCAAGGATCGCAACTGCACGTTATACAATCGGAAGCACTGGCCATAGCCATATCAGTTAGGTGTCGGTTTCCCACCTCCACTCCTTGAAGATGGTGCAGATATGTCATGAATGGATATCTGTTATATGGTACATGGCACTGTATTAGTCCATAACATCGCAAAAGGAACCTTTCTGTAACTTCCGTCTCTTTCTTTTGAGCAACTTGAGAGGAAAATAAGATAGCATTCCTTTTTCTTTGTTCTTCTGCTGACTTGCTGCTTTTATGACATTCTGACTGTTCATGATTTTTAACTCTTTGCGCACGATGATCGCTATCAAGCACAACAGAACAATCGAGCCAATTCTGCATGCTGGAGTAACCACGAAGTGAACGTATTTGTAAAGAATGGCGCTGACATAGACAACATGCACCTAACGGTGCATTTGGTGGTGACCGGAGCTTTACTTGTAGCCAAGGATATGTCATTTGCAACTGAACCAATGACTGCGTGCTGTTATCAACGATGGTAGCCACATTGTCGGCCTTGTCTAAGCGCTGATCTATTTCAGAAAGTTTGCTCTCAAGAACCGCTTTTGCATCTACAAGAACTGTTTTCATGTCCCTCTCATTAATTTTGATTTTTTGAATGGCAGTGTGTAAAGATGCAACAGCTTCTTGCAGTGAGTGAATTTCTTGACTCGATGACGATGCTGTCGCTTGTGGTTGAAGTGGGTCTGTAACCGTAAGAGGGTCGGTAAATTGTTCATCAGTGTCAGCAGTGACACTGGCTATTGGATCTTGGGAATGCAGTGTTTCCTGTGGAGCTGCTGAACTTTGCGATCTTGTTGAACCACTGGTACTGGCAACTTGATCTTGGATCAATGTCGTGTTTCTCAACTGTGAATCCATAGGCATGGCAACTTGAATAACTTCGTTATCTTCAACACGGAGGAGATTTCCTTCTGGGAGAGAATTGCTTCGGACGATTTCAAAAATTTTATTTAGCACAACGATGTTATTAATTTTATGTCTTCCCGATTTCAAATGAGTTTTCAAGTTATCGAGCCGAAAATTTCGATAGGTACAATTTATCAAAGGACATCGTCTGATGCCGGACTTATAGCTTCTAGCTCTTAACATTTTATTGTTAATTCGGTGTTATATAATTTTCTTTTTACTATATTCCTCTGAGATGTTCACTTAAATTTAATAGAAATACGACAATTCTCGTTGTTTTATAACTCATGTGATGACATCACATAATCAATTTTTAGAAAATGACGCAATGCGTATAGTTACGAACTTACGAAGCAATTTTCGACGCCCACGGCCACGACTATGACGACGCGCGTTGAGGCGTGAAGCTACTTACGTACAATCTGTCTGTTTATTTTGCTATGGCAACTAAACATATTCAACAATGCACCAGTGAATATAATTCTAGCATAGATTAAGGGATGAATAGATGGCTCACTCCTTTGATGTTTTTGACGCTGCCGGCACCCACGCATGTTCTTGCCAGAGTAATGGCGGCCTAGCAAGTAACTGTAGTAAAATGCATTGTAAAATTGACATCCGTGCTATTAAATCCTGCATTTTTCCGCTTTTGGGGTGTTTAATGGAAAGATAAATCAGAATTATATAAATACTGAATTTAGTAGCACGGATGTCAATTTTACAATGCATTTTACTACAGTTACTTGCTAGGCCGCCATTACTCTGGCAAGAACATGCGTGGGCGCCGGCAGCGTCAAAAACATCAAAGGAGTGAGCCATCTATTCATTCCTTAATCTATGATTCTAGCTTTATAACATCAAGATTAAATTAAGATCACCTATAGACCTAGTATTCATCTCTGAAGCTGTTATTAATATAACGGAGGGCAAGATACGCTAGACAATGTTGTTGAAAATCAGAATACTGTATACAGTATTATAAAATACAAAACAATAGATACTCCGAAAATTGAGGGCATTTTGACGTTTCGACTAAACTATAGTCATCATCACGAAATGAATAATATATTATATATTGAAATCTTTGCTACATCAAGCTGAATTTACTTTTATACAAGACACTTTCGTCGACAGAGGCTTTTATAATGTATAGTTATTTAATAAAAAATATCGTGAACCGCTTATTTTTTATTAATTTAAATAACTGTACATTTTGATTTAATACAAAAAGTCTCTTGCGGCTCTGCGAGTGTATACCAAACTTGAGAAGTTCAAACCACTTGATACTGTCTGCAGTTGCAGGGTTTGCGCAATAAATTAATGTTGAATCATTAAACTATTATACTTATCACGACAGTGACAATGCTGTTCCTCTATAGAACTTTACAATAAGTAATAACAATTAAGATCAAACAATACTTATATTAGACACAAGACAAAAAGTGTTGTGTTGTTCTATTAATGAGTCAATCTATACCTTAAATCTTTGAACGCAAATTATTATAATGCCAAATAGCTAGATATGTTAGGCATGCAGATGTTTCCTTGACCGAGGAGTTTGGCTGCTTGAGAAGATTGAGAACAACCTAGTTTTTAGTGCGCAAGGGCCTAGAAACAACCTAGTTTTTAGTGCGCAGGGCCTAGAAACAACCTAGTTTTTAGTGCGCAAGAGCCTGAGAACAACCTAGAGTCATTAAAACTAGGTTGTTTCCAGTTTTCTCGCATAACAAAATAGGCAATGACGTCTTGTCACGGTTGGAAGCCAATGCGTTGACAATCGTAATAAGATTACAATGAAACATGATCTGACTATCTTAAGCCTTTTAGGTCAGCCATCAGGGTATAAATATAACACATATATGCGGTTGTGAAGGCAATGCGTAAGCTGCTTATAAACTATTTAAAAATTCTAAAATATATAAATTATTATGATAGATTTCAATGTATATTTAACAGTTTACTGCAACCTTTCACTGCCATTATTCAAAGCCTAGTTTGTGCTTTGCTTCCTGCCTAATTTTGGAAAGTTTACAAATTAATTGCCTAAATTGGAAACTTTCTGAAAGTGGGGTTTCCAGGCTTAAAGGGCCTCATTTGGAACTCTGCAATATGGTTCTATTTCTGAGCCATTATAGACCACAAGAAAGGCCAATTTAACCCCTACTTTTTTAACCAGAGCTATTTTGGCCCTCTCAGAAGAGCACAGTTTTAGCCCCAAAGAAGAGCTGCTTTAGAGCCGAAGG